TCTTGTTTGCAGTGGTAAGTGAAAATGCTTTTCATTGTTCATTTCAAACTGGTACTTAACATGGCTAAAGTACCTTTCCTTATAAATAGAGATACTTTTATGAAAGAAAATTAGACCATGAGGTGCCAAAATATGGGATATGATGACATTGTGGGATATTTCACTACTAGAAATGACCCAGTTGATAACTGATTTGAGGTTTCTCTCCTCCCTCCACAACTTATTTTCCAGAGGGTTAATAATAATAATAATCCTTGCATTTGATATAGCGCTTTTCACGTCTTCTAGACGTCCCAAAGCGCTTCACAGAATATACTGTAAAGTGAATTGACTGTATATTTGTGGGCGAACGCGGCAGCCAGTTGCGCACAGCAGTGTCCCACAAACAGTCGTAGATTGAAAATGACCAATTTATTATTGTTTTTTGTTTTGAAGGGATTATTATTAGGCGTGTGGAGTAAGGAAACTTGCCCAAGGCTTCGCTCTGCCTGGAATTGAACTCAGGTCTGTCGCTTGCAAAGCGAGTGCTCTAACCACTGAGCTACAGGACTCCAGGTTTCACCTGAAGCTGGTTGCTTCACCCTTTGGGATGGCCTGCTCGACTTTTTAAACTGCCACTGTGCAAATTCAGCTTATTAATTTCCCTAGGAAATTATTCTAACACTTCACAATATCCTGTGACATGCATTGAGCGTCTCGAGGTTATGGTTAGGTTCTATATCAAACGTAAGGATTATTATAATTATTCTCCTCTTGTAAGCACAAACTTGATCTGTATCTTTACAGACATTTCCTCAGTACCATGCGTTAGACCCTCCAATATCTGCTACTGTCTCATGATGTATGAACCACAGCTAGGTGTTTGGGACAATACTTGCGGTGAAGGGACAGAAATGTCCCATAAAGTCATGGAATGAGTGACAAATTTTATTTGGAGGTTTGTTTACCAGGGCACCAGGAGAAACTTGTCTCTTTTTGAGCAGTGCCATGGGATCTTGCATTGGATTGTGAGCATTGACTATATGGGTTCCATCCCAGGCTTGAACCCAAAGCTCTTTGAATCAGAGGCGAGAGAGTCAGCCTCTTAACTGAGACTGGTTGTACATTCTATTATTAGTAGAGTTGTACATTATATAGTAAGTAAAGAGTCAACAATCTCTGCTATTCACTGACAGTGAAAACCCTCACTAGCACTTGGGACATTGTTTGGGGAGCACTGTGCAAATGCTTTCACGGAGCTCAGTGTTGCTCGAGGATTGTGGAAACAGCAGCTTTATTCAACACTGCCAGCTCACACTGGCTCTAAGCAGGAGTTAGTATCAAAACTGTTCCTGCAAGATGAAGATAATATAAGTGCTTTAAAATGTACTTTTTAAATTCATTTATTGAGGCTTGTTCCTGTGGTGAAACCAAAGGGTTGGTCACACACAGTCCACTTGCACACGAAGTGCTCAAACAGATGAGGTGCTATGCAGATGTGAGAACGTGATGCACTTCATAGAATCATATCATAGAATGTTACGGCACAGAAGGAGGCCATTCGGCCCATCGAGTCTGTGCCGGCTCTTTGACAGAGCAATCGACTTTTATTAACCCCACTCACCAGCTTTCTCCCCATACCCCTGTAAACCTGTCTTCTCCAGATACGTATCCAGTTCCCTCTTAAAAGCTGTTATTGAATCGGACTTTACAACCCTTTCAGGCAGATCATTCCAAATTCTAACAACTCACTGAGTAAAAAAATTTCTTCTTAACTCCCCTCCTGCTTCTTTTGGTAGATATCTTAAGACTGTGACCACGAGTCACAGACACACCTACCAGTGGAAACAGCTTTTCCCTATCTAGCCTGTCGAAAACTTTCATGATCCAGAAGACCTCTATCAGGACCCGCGTAACCTTCTCTGCTCTAATGGGAAAAGTCCTAACTTCTCCAGCCTGTCCTCATAGCTAAGGTTCGCCATTCCTGGTATCATTCTTGTGAATCTCCTCTGCACCCTTTCCAGTGCCTTAATATCCTTCCTGAGGTAAGGTGCCCAGAACTGGACCCAGTACTCCAGCTGAGGCCTAACCAGTGTTTTGTACAGATTAAGCATAACCTCCCTACTCTTATACTTTATGCCCCTACTAATAAAGCTCAGTACACCAAATGCCTTTTTTACTGCCTTATCTACCTGCCCCGCTACCTTTAATGATTCACTTACTTGAACACCCAGATCTCTCTGTACGTTCAGCCCCCTTAAGATTGAGCTACCAAGACTATATTGCCTCCTATCATTTTTCCTACCTAAGTGTATCACCTCATACTTATCCACATTGAAATCCATCTGCCACATGTCAGCCCATTCCACCATTCTGTGTATGTCTGCCTGCAGTCCGTCACAATCTTCTTCACTATTTACTTCCCTACCTAACTTGGTATCATCTGCAAACTTGGAAATAGTGCTCCCTATGCCCAAGTCCAGATCATTAATATATATTAGAAAGAGCAGTGGTCCCAATACCGATCCCTGGGGGACACCGCTGCACACCTCCTTCCATTGCGAGAAACACCCATTAACCACCACCTTCTGCATTCTGTCACTCATGTTGAACTGTGAAAGCAAAGCATATCAGAATGCCGTTGCTGCCAAGGCTCTTTCTATCATCTGTAATGAAACAAGATTTCTACCCATCCTCACCAATGTCATTTTCCAAAAGATTAATTGAGGGACAGGATAGTTTCCTCATTGTTCATTTTTTCTTCTCTCAGCTGCCAATGACCTCAAAATGTCTATGAATGTGACTGGGAGGCTGTCCTCTGCTTAAGTAAAACTCCTTATAACATCAAATACAAGAACCTGGACAAAAAGACCCACTGCAAATAGATGAGAATTTTACAGGACTGATCGATTGCCTTAGGAGTGATGAGCACGATCAATAAAGCATTGTCCCCTGTCTATCAAACGTCTACTTAAACCTCAGTAAAGCCAGTCTAATTTGCTTAATACTCTTGAAATCCTTTTTCAAAGAGTTTACGCTGCTTTCAGCATTAATTCAATAAAGGTTACAACACCACCATCAAAGCTGGGTTATATAATGGTTTGTTTTGTCTCCGTCTTGAAATATTTCAACCTCATTGCAGGCGGCAATGTATTTCAAGCTGCTGATAAATCATTAAACGTTGCTGATCCATGTGCCAGTGTTTTCCCTCTTCTGATGAGATTGCCTCTAACCTCTGACCCAGATGAGGAGCTGTTATATCAAATACAAGGATTATTATTATTAACAAATTAGGAGTGTTGCCCAGTAAACTGGGACAAACTCCCTTCTCTTTTCAAATAGTGTAATGGGATCTTTAACATACCATCTGAACAGGGAAATGGACCTTGATTTTACATCTCATCCAAAAGAAGATCCTACCAATAATTAACTGGAATGTCAGTGTATACTATGTCCTCAAGTTCTGATATGCAGAAGCCACAACTTTTGACCCAGAGATGAGAGTGCCTTCAGGTGCTCACAGTATAGTCTCTCCTGAATCACAGACAAAATGACAATTTCAATGACCATTTAGCCAAACACTACATTTTGTTGTAAACACGATGCTGTGTTTTTTCTTACTCACAACTGTCCCTCAAACTCTCCTTCCAATCCTTTGTATTGTTCCTGCATACTGCACCAGCCCTCAGCCACCAAAACCCTTATCCACGCATTCATCACATCTAGGCTCGACTAGGCCAACTCCCTGCTTGACGGCCTTCCCAACTCTGTCGTTCACAAGCTACAGATCATCCAGAACTCTGCAGTTCGTGCCCTCTCCCGCACCAGGCTCAGTGACTCTACCACCCCCACCCTTGCCCGGCTCCATTGGCTTCCCATCCCCCAGAGGATAGAGTTCAAAATCCTCAAAGTCCTCACCTTCAAGGCCCTCATGGCCTTGCTCCTTCCTACCTCTGTGACCTGCTAACCCCATATCAACCTGTCTGCTCCCGCTGCTCAGTACAACAACAACAACTTGGATTTACATAGCGTCCTCCACGCCGGTGTCTCAGAGCGCTCAGTAGACTCCGCTGGCCCGTCTCACCATCGGGGGTCGGGCTTTCAGACTCTCTGACCCCACCTTATGGAACTTCATTCCACATTCCCTTTGCCTTGCTCCCTCGCTTACCTCCTTAAAGGTGCGTTTCAAAACTCTCCTCTTCGACCAAGCCACCCTCCTACCCTCCCTGATCCCAATCCCCCTGCTTTGGTCTAAATCCTTGACCGTTCAGTGCCTTGGGAAGTCCTCCTGAAGTGAAAGGTGCTATACAAATGTAATTTTGTATTTTGCATCTCAACTCTTGGGCTCAGTTCCTGTTGCTGACCTGAGCGTTGATTTACAAAGGTCAAATCTTAGCTATCACCTATTTTCTCAGATCACCCCTTAAATACTACAAGTATGGTAAGCAAATACTTCAGTTTTTGTCAGCAAATGTTGCAGTCATGTTGTGCACAGTAATGCCATTAACTGAAAGGTCAAATTATCTGCAGGATTGTTGGCCAGGACATTGGGACATCTCTCTGATCAAAAATGGCATAGATGCAGACAGACTAGTCGAGGGGGCAGAAACAATGGCAGATGAAGCTTAGCATTGTAAAGTGAAGGGTGTCAACAATCCTCCAAATCGAAAGGTCATTTGCCTTACTAGTATTTGTGGGATATTGCCCTGTACAAATTGGCCACTGAGTACATCTACAAATATACAGTTGCTATACTTTATACATTTACCTATGAAGCACTCACAGAATGCACCAAGGTTATTCCTGTAGATAATATGGTTCTAGTTACGAGACCACCCACATATTATAAATGTAATATGTTATTAACAGTGTAAGGTAAAAGTTTTTTTTATACAAAGTGTTGGGAGAAAGTAAGCTTTTATTACTATACCACAGATCGTTTAAGTTATTTTAAGTTCTGTTATTCACACAGCCCAAGAGTCACAGTGTTTAACATCAGTCAGACAATGAAGGAGATCAAATTATTCCAGATGTAGGTTTATTACAAACTTAAAAAAAACTAATGTGGTCAGCTGAGTAAAGAAAATGTCCAACAAAATTCAACATTTTAACGTGATTCCCAAGAACAAAAATATTGCCCAAATCCACTTTGAAAATTTCTATTCATTCAAAGAAACGCTATAAATATAGGTCTAAAAACAAGGGACTGATTGGGAGCCTTTTCAGAATAAATACAAGGACGTTCAGGTTTTATCTATAGATTTATTTTGAATAATTAGCCTTAGAGAAACAAGCAACCAATCCAAAAGATTGCACAGAAAAGGAATCCTGGCACTATGAGGTGTTACAGAAGGATAAAGTGTTGGCTGAGACCCATATTAATCACTCATTCTTGACCACTCATAGCTCCATAACTGGACATGGATAATGCTAGCAATTAAAATGCTTGACTGCATCCAAACATACAATACATACAGGACCTCCATTCACGGCTACTTTTTTAACCTCTTCATAAAAGTCCTCTAGTCTACCTGTAGTTCAACAGCAAAAAACAGTAATACAATACACACTGCTAGGCTACAAGATACAGTTGCATTTTTAAAAGTGACAAAAAAAGCACAACTGTTGCATGCAAATCAATAAACTGTCAAAAAACTGACAATTATGAAAAGCAGAATTTCAAGAGTTGAGAACTGTTGAAACAGGATTTGCGTAATGGAAATGGAAACTATGAAGGCACTTGGAGAATACTGGACCAGATTTTTTTAGGGCAGTTTGGTTTAAATCAAAGGCTTTTGTCATCACTGAGAGTTGTCGTTCACAGCATACTGGTAAGCAAGATGCTAGAACATTCAACATAAATCTAATAGGATAAAGGACTTTAAAGAAAATAGTTTACACCAAATAGTGGACGCGACGAATGATTTAAAAAGACATCCAAGCAACATAATTCTACAAAGCAGCAATGCATAGCCTTTTTTTTTCAATTATTCTATACCTGTGGGCACAGCATCTAAGTGTGTCCTTTTAATACACTATTACAGTATAATTCTAACAAATAAGTAGAAATCAATACAGGTTCATCAACTGTTACCACTACAGGGATGTTTGGGTAAAATACCTGGCATGGAATTCATTATTTCACACAATAGGCAATTTATGCCAAAAAATAAATTTAAAGACATTTATGTCTTTCTATAATCATCTGGTTGTCCCATAGGCTTTCACTTAAACAATTGCTTTGAAAGCCTATTGAATGTGTTCCATTGTGTTCGAAAGACCAGTATTTCATTCATACTGCAGTTTTCGAAAACGGTCATGCGTTTTCTTCTTCCGAGGGTAGATCAGCTCTCTCAACCGGGCAAGCACTTTTGTAAAGAATATTTGGCAACTTTTTTTGTACTCCAGTGGGAGTAAGCCGAGAAATGCTCATTTCAAATTAAAAGCAATTAAGGGTCTTTCTTCCCTTTTCTGCCAAGGGCTTTTTTTATCCTCTCCTTGGTCCTCCGAACTATCATTGTCGTCATTCTCATTTATCTGATCATTGTCATTAATCCGATCATTCTCATTATTCAGCATCTGCTCCTCAGTGTCCACATGTTTGTCATAGCTTGGACTTGTTGGAAGTGGTGCCTCGATTTCTTCAATTCTCTGCAGGTTTTCATTCTCAATGCCCTCTGTCATGCCACTATTTCTTTTGGCCAACTCATCCAACAGAGGTTTTATTGAGATATCCTCTGGGCTGCAGACAGCTGTCCCACTTTCACTCCCACTCTGCTCCATATCATCCACATAGACCAGCCTTGTGTAGGTCATGCTCCCTGAAAGATTTCGCTCTCTGGCCTCTTTTCCCTTTCGACTAGGTTTGGATTCATTCATGTCGACACCAGAATCTAAGCTGGCATCATTGCTCCCATTTTTTCCAGCTTTCTGCAGGTCAATGTAAGAATGTCTAACCTGGGCGTTTGCACGGCCATCCAGTGAAACAAACCAGGCTCTCGGGTGAGGAAGAGGCTTTCCTCCAGCGAGTTCCAGTAGAGCCTTTTCTGTAAGGAGTTGCACTTCGCCATTCATCTGAGCCACCGCAGCCTCACTTAGTGACGCTGGAATAGATACCGATTCTGACATGGAGGATGACTGGGGACTCCAGTCTTTGCCTTCTCCTTCCTCTAGTTGCTGTTGGGACAAGTTTTGTGGCATCGCCAATTGAGGGACAGAAAGCTCTGTCTGTAGCCGTTCCAACTCAAGCTCTTGCTCCGCTGGGCTGGTCAAAAGTTGCCCTGCAGAAGGGTATTCCGTTGGCAACTTCATGTAATGGGCAGGAATGACCAAGGTGGGTAGCACTTTCCTATAAACATTGTCATTCACTTCATCTACTGAACTGCAACAGATCAACTGGCCTGGCTGAGGAAACGATGTTGGTCGTTCGAGGTGGTCAACTGACCGGGACATCTTGTAATCGACTGCTTTTCGGTCCATTTGTTGTGCTTTGTCAGGAACACACGACAATTGATAAGTTGGCTCTCGGATACAACCTTTATTGTCAATGGGAAAAAAGCTTCCTGAAGCTTGAACTTCCTTATCCCTTTTTTCCAGTAACGGCTGAGACGCCACTGAATTGTAACTCCTCTCTCGCATAGGAGATTCAAAATCCTCCGAAATATTAATGGACCTGGCCACCTTGAGGGGAAAGGTTCCCGAGGATCCCAGATAATCTTCGTTTAGTGCGTCCCTCAGAACAGGGACTTTGTGTGAAATTAACTCTTCTCGAGAACTGAATTCTCGGGATGTGCTGTAGGAAGGTTTCAGCATTGGCGTATGCACATCTGCTTCCCCACCTGAGGAGACCAGTTCCATATGGACTGCACTGATCAAGTTGATGTGAGACATTGAAGTTGCTTGGTCCTTCTTGGAACTGTCCAGTGCAGAAGACAGCTGAATTTTCCTATGGTGTTGACGAGGTTTCAAACACTTCCTCCTGTGGGGTTGAGGGGTACAGAAGCATTCAGTTTGTCGTGGATGCAATAACGTCACTTAAGAAAAGATAACAATTGATGGACAGTGGTGCTGAAAATGTGGTATTCACTACTTGGATTCACTTAATAACAACCCTCGAGTCACAAATAGCAACTCTGAGCAGTAACCAAAAAGACTGGACACCGACCCATTGGGTTTCTGCTCCCATGCATTCTACCACCAGAGTGGATGGAGTTCCTTCCCATAAGTCGGATGCCATCAGGAATCATTCTTTAGCCAATCCATGCGGTGAGTACAGCATTTTTGCCCCAATGTAAATTCAAGTCAAAACTTTAAATAAAAATCTACCCGTCATTTCAAAAGTGTATTTGAACTAATTTAAGCTTGAAATAGATGGATTTGAGCCCTCTTCTCCTTTACAAGCAAGACTAAGAGTGGAAAATTGATGTATTGTCAGTAAAGAAAGCCAATGATCATAAAAATCTTGCTGACAGGAGAAGTTACTGAAAACCTCCAAAGATTTTCTTCAGAGCTTTCCAGGATCACAAGTACATTTTAATGGTACTTTTTATACTATGGAAGCAATGGCTCTCCTCAGCTCCAGGGAGTTACCAGTACACATGGTATAAATCTGGATTTCTACTTGGAATGGCATTTGCTTTCATGGTATAATAGTGACATGGAAGAAATGCGCTATGAGATCTGGCATTGAAAGTGGGGAAGCAGATTTATAACACTGACACTGAGGAAAGCTCAGCACTTTGGTAACTAAATTCATGTAAGGAGCTCCACTACTGCTGAGCAGTTTTAACGTTAAGTTTTAATGTTATGAAAGGCAGGGAGTGCAATCAGCTCTTTGATAACATTATAAATCTCAAGAACTTGTATTCTCAAACTGTTTTTTAAAAAAGTTTAAAGGCTAGTTTGTAATAAGCTGCAGTAAAAGCCTATTTATATTCCAGCCGCCAGAGTGGATTCATTTCCAAACTTTTCTCTCCTTCGGGAGAGGGACACAAAGGATTAACGCCAATAAAAAAGTTATTTTGGTGTCTTAGCATTGATTCAATGGGAAAATGTGCCCAGAACAGAAATTTCTAATTAATACTAAAAACATAGAGTAATACTTTTCTGTCTGTATATCCTTTATAAGTATTAATTTAATGGAAATAAAGAAAATCTCAAGAGCTCACTTGGCTTTACTAATATTAAAAAAAGTTTTCTTCAACAAGAATAGATTTTGTTGTTCAAATCTCCCCACCTCGCCTTATAGCATTTCCCACTAAAGAATGGACAAATTGGACATTGGGCAAATACAACTTTTAAAATTAATTTGGAGAAAATTTATGATTAAATTAAATTAATTACATTAATAAAATTAATTTTCAAGCTTCATAGAGCTCTGATTGCAAATGAATTGTCCAAACTTTTAAATAAATTATTCATAACTGATAGACAATTTATAGTGACAGGCAAAGGAACAAGACAATAGCACAAACCCTACTGGAAGTGTTTGAACTGGATAAAGATCTCACACCCTGGAAGTGGCATACACTGTATTTTGAGGAGCTCTGCTTTACCTCTGAAAGGAACATTTTTCATTGAAGAGTTACCTGCAATAATAAATGAGTAAGCAAAGCAGAACCAGCAGAATGACAGCCATCCCTCCTAGAATGGCCAGCAGGAAGACCGTATGATAGACTGTGATGTCCTTGGTTCCAACAGTACCCAAACCACCTAAAATAAGCAAATTAAAATATATTGTCGATGTTACTAAATAAGCCGCTTGCTTCTAAAGTAACTTCAAGGAGATAGCATTCCCTTTTCTACTGTGTAAAATATCAATAAATCAAATTCTGAATACATTCAGCATTTAAAATAACTGAGATCATACAAGGTTATACACATTATCAGGATTAGGTTTCTTCATCTTCAATATAAATGTGAGTGGCTCAGTACATTTCTGATCAAGTCTCACCATCTTGCAGTAACCTTCAGACATCACCACTATCTGCTGAATAGTTTACCTGGGCTTTGAGGAGACATGGCTGCAGCCCAGTAACCCAAGTGAGGAGCGATGTACGTCCAGGTCAGCTGGTCTCCTTCTTTTTGTACAAGGCCCAGTACGCTCTTCAGCCAAGCACCTGACGGGGAAGAAATCCAAGTAACTTTTAACCCAATCAATTGCATATATTTTTAAAATATGCTTATTCACTTGCATATACTTTACTTGCAATGCATTCCATTTTGACCTATCCACGTCCTCCTCTCAGCAGGCTCTGGCCTGCTCAACATTCCTCCCCGCCCGGCCCGCTTCACTTTGGCAGTGGGCTTTCAGCTTCTCTGCTCCCACCCTTTGAAACTTCAGCCCACAATCCCTTTCCCTTGCTCCCTCCCTTGCCTCCTTCCAGACCCATCTCAAGACCCTCCTCTTCAACCATGCCTTCGGTCACCCACCTACACCTACCCTCCCTGCCCTCTACTCCTCCTAATCCCAACCCCCTACTCGGGTCCAAATCTGACTACCCAGCGCTTTGGGATATCCTCTAGATGTGAAAGACACTATACAAATGTAATTTGTTGCTGTTATGTAAATTTTCATTTCTATAGCACCTCATGCCAGGAGGATGACTCAAGGTGGTCGACATTCCTGGTTTTGCACTCAAGCTAAGATGGTAGCCACGGGGGTTGTGAGGAGAAAGATAACCAAAGGCACGGTCAAACAGATAGATCTTGAGCTGGACCTTGAACGAGGTGAGGAAGATGCAAGTTGGATGGAATCTGGGATGGAGTTCCATTGATTGGGGCAGAAAGGCTGAAAGCCTGACCACCAATTGGGGGGCAGGTAGAGCGGGGGACATGAAGCAGGCCAGTGCAAATACAAACGATTTAATCTTAGCAGCACTGGACACATTGATGTTATAAACCCACCACAAATATTGCAATTTAATTGGGCAGAAGGAAAATCATTCACATGATTGGAACTGAAAAATATACATCAGGGAATTAAGACACTTTCTTCTCAATCCCCAAGATCTGGAATCATCAGCTTTCTAGCACTTCTATATCCAATTTCATGAAACCTAATGTCTCACAGTTGGGAGGATTTAATTCTCTTCAAAACACATTCATCAGTTTTGTTCCTGAAGCATATAAGTTAACAAATAATTTTACTTATTACCATACTGTACATCCAAAATATCCCTAATAACATCTCAAATAGTTTAGAAATGCTGTTCTGTGCATGTCTCTCATTGGTCACTAGGGGGCACATGAGCTCAGCACTGTATATGCTCCAGAGCATCAGTTTATCAAACAACATAGCACTAAGCTTTGTCATCTTTGATTTGCTTTATGTTTATAGTTCAGTACCAAGTCAAATATAGTTACATCATTAGATCATCATCATGCAAATCCTTGAGTTCTTCCCAGGCAAGAGGTTTTATGCCTGTTGGCCACATTCTGTCAGCAAGACAAGCTGTAAAAACCCATGTGCTAGGCTTTCTTCCAAGCTCACTTCTGAACCAGTATGGCCATTTGCTCAAAATCAGCCCTTAAACGTCATTCAGCAGATTTACAAAGGGCATTATAAGCTTCTACCAGCAGTTAATAGCACACATTTTACGATAAAACACAATACTCAGTCTTACTGTAGAACAGAATACATTTGTCGAAGATAAATTTGCTTAGGTGTGGGTTTGGTCATTGCATCATTTGCAATATACACACGCTCTCATTTTACACTATAGCCTGTCAAGCCGTTTGAGATGTTCTGTGGATGTGAAAGGTGCTATATCAAATGCACGGATTATTATTTATTTCAAAATGTTAGCTTAAAGATGCAGCACAATTAACTGTGAATATTGGCATTGTCTTTGGCTGAACTATTGATCTCCTAATGCAAGTGATTTCCTTGACAGCTCAGTTAATTCCTAAAACAGTTTCCTTTTCAGTGGACTTTGTAAAATCATTCTTTGAATACATTTCCTTTCCAATAATACTCTTTTTAGCACAAGGGAAATTACAATAGCTTTGTTCAGGGTTTATGTTACCAGATTGTTTTCTTGTTACTAAGCTACCCAAAAAAATAAATGTTCATGTCCTGAGATCATACATTCAGTACTCCACCCACATTCATACATTTGCTGGGGAATTAAAGGGGCCTGTGCTCTGTGGACAGATGTAACCGAACCTCAGTTTGAGCTCAACTGCAAAAGAAAACACTTGCTGTTCAGTTGCAAGTGCGACCATGTTCTTGGACACCTCCTCTCCTTGCCTCTTTCGCTCTCTCTCTCTCTCTGTCAATAAATATCTTGGGAATATGTATATGTGGAATGCATGGAACTCTGTTCGGCTTGGATATTCTTAAGAATGATGATGGATTTCTGCACGTGTCAGACACCCGCCTGACCCCAAAAAATCTCTCGCACATGCACGCACACACACTTTGTTAAACATTAGAGACAGAGCGTATCTATCTGCTGTGAAGGTGAACAGAATTGATATGAATTTACACTGCCTAGCTAAATAATTTTAAAAACTGCACATCTTCAGTGAACTCAATTACCTAATTCTAGTGTATTACATCAGTAACCCGAGGAAAGTTTTTCTTACCATCTGCAGACTAGTCTTGCAGAATGTGGGAGTGTGCAGGGCAGAGCAGAATGGAGGAACATCAAAGGAAACACAATTCCTCCTCAAATAAGTCTTTTAGTGCCCCACAACTAAGGTTAATGACAGGGTATATCATTGAGTGAACCATGACTGAGAAAGTTCCGGTGTAAACATTACGTCAGTAACAATGAATTAGATTTACAAAAACAGCAGGGTTCTTTTGAGATGAAAAATCATAGGCGAGCAAACCATTTATTAAAGTGAACCTAAATATTTCAACAAGAAAGCCCTTCCAATCATATTCTGCAATCACCCTCAACTTTACAATATATCCTGTGAAGCCCTTTGAGATGTCTTGATGTGAAAGGTGCTATTTGAAATACAAGGATTATTATTATTTTTACAAAATAAAAAGCTGGTTCTACTGCTTTTCAAGCTACATCGGTGACACATTTACTCTAAATAGCTCTGGTTAGCAGCAATATTTTGATTTAATTCATGGTTGAGTAGATGGCAAGACATGATGTTTGACAGATACAGACCACAAGCATACTTGCGAGTTTCAGCATGCTGTTCCAGGGCAAGCCACTGAGTTAGAATTATAAACCATTTGTTACAATAGAAGGTGTAAAATTGAGACATTTGGTGCTATGTGTGATGTTTTTGCAAGCTGTTCCCATCCAGCACTGGAATGGATGGAAATATAGATAATTCAACATGTAAGAGAATGTAGAAACTTAGCAACTTTCCATTCATAAAATTGCAGTAGTCCCAAACATGATTGAAAGGAATGATTAATCACATTCAGTTTGGCTTGCTTTGGCTGTGGTGGTATGAAGAAGACATCATAATGGGTGGACAACAAGCTTCTTAAGTGAAGGAAGTTTCTCCCTGTGTCCTGGACAATAACCCCCAAGATAAAACTGGTCATTCATTTCCATGGCTATTTGTGGGACACTGCTCTGCTCTGCGTAAATTGATTGCTTGGGTCTTCCACNAAAAAACTGCACTTTACAGTATATCTGTGAAGCACTTTGGGATGCCCTCCCAATGTGAAAGTCACTATACCAAATGTAAAGATCATTATCGTTATTACTGCACAATGAAGGCAGCACAATCAGCAAGTCAGCAAGAATCATCTCCATGTTGAAACTGTGGACCTTTTGCAAAGGTAATAAAATAAATCAGTGCCCCAGGACACGACACAAATATTGTTTAGCAATATTGCAGGAGATGATAACACTTCAATTCATTTTCAGAGGTGGCTGAAAGCGCAGAGGAAGAGATTGGTCTTAAGGCTGTTCTGGAAGGCAGGGAGGGATTAAAATGTAGGGACCCAGAATGGCAGATCAGCCAGCCTGGCACATCAGCAGAACAGAAATAAGCAGATCAATCATTGGTGCCAATAATTCTTCCTACTCAGCTCCTGTTAAACCTGTAAATCAAAGGCTTCATGGATAGGATTGTCTTATCTAGACAAGCAGTGGGAAGCTTGTCAGACAGTGCTCCGGCTTGCTCCACGTCCCCCGACTCACCTGCCCCATCATTGGCGGGACAGCCTTCAGCCACTCTGCCCCCAACCTCTGGAATTCCATCCCCCAATCACTCCGCTTCGACCCTCCTTAGCCTCCTTCAAGTCCGCCTCAAAACCCTCCTCTTCGGCCAGGCCATCGGTCACCCCCCTTCCCCTCCCCTCTCCCTCCCTGACCCCAGCTCAGGACTGAAATGCTGTACATTGTCCAGTGCCTTAGGACATCCTCCCGACGTGAAAGGTGCTATAGAAATGTAATCTTGTTGTTGTTTTCAATGGCAAGCTATGTAGTTTAGTTAGTTATACTCTAAAAGTACCTCCAGGGTACATCCCCGGGGAGACAGTGCGCACTGCATTCTATACACAGAAATTTCCATGTTTAGGTGACATGCAAGGAACTCTCAGTCTGGTCTGAATACTCTTACGTCTGACACCCTGCTGACCAAAAAAACAATCGATTACTCTAACATCCTTTATATAAAGAAGCCCAAAACTGTGTGCAATATTTCACCTAAGCAATAATACTAATATGAATCCTTGCATTTGATGTAGCGCCTTTTCATATCTATTGAGACGTCTCAATGCGCTTCATAGAATATATTGTAAAGTGAATTGACTGTACATTTTTGGGGTGAAACGCGGCAGTAAATTGTGCACCTCAGTGTCCCACAAACAGTCATGGATTGAAATGACCAATTTATTATTANTTTTTTGAGGGAATTATGACTCCCGGAAAAGCGATCTACCAATTGACTAACAACTGGGTTCTTACTCACTGCGAGGTAAACAGAGGCGTGTGAAATAAGGAAACTTGCCCAACGTTTCATTCTGCCCAGGTCCCTCGCTTACGAGGCGAGTGCGCTAACCAGTGAGCTATAGGACTCCACTCTAATGTCTTATACAGATTCATCATTACTTCCTTACTTTGGTATTCACTGGCCTTGTAAATAAAACTTAGAATCCTGCTTGCCTTTTTAACAGCCCAAGCAGGATTCCAGG